TGGTACCTTGCAGTCCGACAGCGACGACCGCATTCGGATTCACCTACGACAACGGGCGACACTTCACACGCTTGGCGGTTCTCAGATGTTGGCCAAAGTTGTTCGGGAACTTGATTTGCTAACTGGATGGTCGACCCAGCTGTCGGTGTACTCAGATCTTAAAGGTTCCTCTCCGTATGCTTCGACGGTGGCAACAGTCTTCACGGCTGGGCTCTGGCAGTGTTTATGTGCGCAGCCGTCGGTGACCTTTTTAGAAGCCATGCACGTGGTTCAGTTGGACTTGCTTAAGTGTATCCCCCTTGCTGGGGTTAGCTCTTACGTGTCTGTCTTGCTGACGGCCGTCACCTCGTGCATCTCTATTTGCCGCGTTCGCGCCCTATTCCGTGGTGGACGGAAATCTCGTATGCGTGCTCATCGCCTGTGTCACAGTTTTACACCGCTCCAGCAGGCTGCTTTCTCAAGGCCTGGGGAGGCGAGCATCACGGATGCGCTCGAATTGTTTCAGTTTGTCTATCTGCAGGCTCGGTGTATCCAGGACCCCAAGCCGACGCCTCAGGCCAAGGATAAAAACACTGGCTCTTCGAGTTTCGTGTACCAGTTAGGCTCCGAGAGCTTGTACATCGGCCAGGGATCCCTCGTTCGGAGTTCATCGGGGCGTTCTGGAGGCGCTGGACGTTTTCGGGAACACCTTCGAGGCCTACGGCGCGTCGCCCTGGGAACCCCAACTAAGGAAAGAAGCCGCTACGTACAACTTACACCTGGATGTACTTCCTGGCTCTTATTCTTCGCCCTGGCCATTACCCCTACCAAGGACGTACATGCACTTGAGAGCGCACACATTGCATACTCACGCCCGCTTGCTAACAACCTCAATAATCCTCACCTCGGGCGCCTACGCGCGCGGCATCGGCTACGCCCGCGCGCGCGTACACACCGGAGGACACGACGGAAATGTGAACACACATCGGAGGCACAGACCGTACTTAATCAAAAATGGTATGACAAGCGCATACAAACTTTATGTTCACAACGCATGGTTTTTCGTAGTATCTAGCCGCACGTCATAGATGGCAACACCTTCTCCAGCATAAATATGGTGACTTGCACGATGTGATTATGCAGCAGCGTGTGCAGGCACAGCAGGGGCAGGGCCCGATTAACATTACGGGCTCAGGCAGCACGGTCTTGATGCTCAAATGGGCCTCCACGAACTATCAGCACACGCCGTGGGAACTGATATGCAAGAATCGGACCCACGGCACGGACTTTTTATTCAACGTCTGGGAGTTCACAGCACTGTATCCGTTTTGGATGGATCGTGTCAGAGTACGCTCGTCCCTGAAGTCCTACCTCCACTCCATTAAGCTTCCCGCCCCCGTCAGCAGCGTTGTGAAAGTGTCACACCAGTCGGAGGTGACACCTGTCAAATGTTGGCTTGCCCGCATCGTGCAGCAGGCCAGACCCTCACGTCCAGCATGGGCGATTTAGGCGGCCAAATCCGTCCGCATACTGGCGCGCCCTGAACTTACGCTCAGGAAGCGCTTTTGCACGGTGGCTCGTATGTTTCGGCAGCAGGACTATCAGGCTCTCGGCCAGCTCTCCCTGCACGATTTTCACCTTGCTGCGCGAGGTGACGACATGGAACGTATACATATGAACGGACGCATACCCCTACTTACTCCCTCTCTGACCCAGCCCCAGCGTGACAACACCCAAACATCGTGTCGTCGGTGGCTGTCGCCCCAAGGTCTCGACAAAACGACCTACCCTAACTATCGCGCCCGACGCCCCCGCCCATCCCAACCGAAATCCCTGGACGACCGACGATATAAGGCCCTTGGAGAGGCCCGACTGAAATTTGAAGCGAAGGCCTTTTAGGCCCAGGACCCTATTTGCTTTACGGTTGAGGACAAGGACCCGAACACGATGTGGCGTATTAATGGACTTTACCATCTAGCTCGGTGGTTACATCTGATTGCTAAGGCCCCTGAAAGATGGCGCGTTGTTGGTACTACCAAGGCCGCGGTGGTTGCCTGGTACCGTTTATTGTACGATTATACCATCCCGAAGTCCCTCAGGGCTAAAGGGGAAGGCCCACTTAATGCTGAAAACGTCCCCTATATCTATCCTACGGTCAAGCTAAAGTGTTGGGGCGGTGGACATCTTCCCCCTGAGCAAGGACGCCATAAGTGTACCAAACCAACGCACAGCTGTTTTCGGAACATATGCAGTTTCGTTCGACTACCATCGCGCTCATTATATAGATCAATCAGTCGTGCGTTTACCTTCCTCTCCAACCAGATGAACCCAGGGTGGTCATTCTCTTCTCTGGACACAGCTGTGCCTAACATTGTGGACAAGTATGCCCACCTTGTGTCTGCGCCGTCGGCGGGCCCATGCTTGTGCAGGGGCTGCCAGGCGCCGATGACCTGTCCAGGTCTCGTGGTGGGTGATGCTGGCCAGACATACGAGGCCATCGCTGTTGAGAAGATTCACGAGTGCCTTGATCGCTTGTTCGCCAAGCTTGCTGAGAGTGAAAAAGAAGGCAAGCAGCGTTGCATCACGGTCATGCGCACACAACGGTCACATGTATTCTTTGGGGGGACGACGACCCGACGATTGTGGGATCGCACGGTTTGGTATTCTAGTAGCATCCGCAGGGCTCTGGAAGGTTTTCTAGGCATGAGACTGTTCCTGGTCAGTGGCTTGGTCGTCCAGCAGCTCTGTGGGATCCCCATCGGAGGGCCCCTCAGCGGGGCTGTCCTTCACGCTGTGCTCAGCGACCTGGAGTTTAGCACCGACTCTCGGTACCCAGGCCGACGGAGCACTATCATGACTGGGCGGTATGTTGATGATATCATTCTGGCTTCTAAGGTTTGTTGTAGCAAATGTCTAAAGCGCCTGGTGTGGCACGTCTATGGCAGCACGGTCAAGTTTGACTACACTGAGCCTACCCAGATCAACCCATCTACTCTAATGGTTCCCTCCCTGGAGGCCGTATTATTCTTCACGCACAAGGGGTGTACCAGTTGGGTTACCCATAAGAATGAAGCATATGGGTTCTCGGGTCGTGCGTCGGAGCTAGCCAAACAGTCACTACCTCCCTACTTAGGAGTGTTCCCACCAGCCCTACTTAAACAACATCGAGCTGAGTTACGGGGTCGACTTAGACGATGGCAACAACTACGCGCTTGTGATCTTAACTGGCTTATACTGATTTGTAGCGATGTACTTTTACTTCTTCGCCTAGGCTATAGTGGTCAACATATACACCGCATATGGTATGATATCTTCCCACCCTCGCAGCAGTTGGAAATAAGCAAAGCAGCCATAAGACTCGTTCTCCTCACCTCAAAGGCCCTGAGAGCCCCACCAGGTACCCTTGCAGCTGTCTTTTCTCAGAGCCTGGCGGGAACAGCTACTCCAACTCAGACTGACGTTCGGACCCCACCTACGTCGGCAGCGAGTGGGATGTTCAGCTCTTGGCGCAGCAAGGGCAGCGGCAAAGCTGGCAACAAGGGTGGACCCTACGCCCCTCGGTCCCAGCAGTTCCAGCAGCCCCAGTGGGGCAAGGGCAGCAATTACAACAGATACGGCGGCGGTGGTTCCTCTCAGGGAGGCTTCACGGGGATGCTCGGCCAGATGACCTCCGTGATGGACAACATCGCAGCCTTGGGCGAGCTCACGCGGGTGGGCAACGCCCTGGCCCAGACGCAGCAGCAGCCTATCCAGCCTGTCCCAGCCGCCGTGGGGGCGACCCCGCCTGCCACGCCGCCTGGGGCGGCACCCGGTGCTGACACACCGGGGGCCCCGACCACCTCGGAGCCCGCG